GAAGCTGCCTGCCTGGCTAGATCCAATCATTTCCATCTCTTTCTATCTAGTTCTCTTCTCCCTCTCGAGCCTAGATTCCTCCTCCTACTTATTCTCTCTGCCTACCAGCCCCACCTATCCCTCTTCTGACTAGCTATTGACTGTTCAGTTTTTATTAGACCAATCAGGTGCCTTAGGCAGGCAAAGCAGCAGATCTTTTTACATCATTAAACAAATGCAGCATAAAAAATTGTAACACATCTTTGCCTGGTTAAAGTAATATTCCACAACAACAAACCTTGTGTACTACCAAAGTATTCACACTGGTGAGAAAACTTATGGATGTAAGGAATGTAAAAAAGTCTTCTATAATGGCTCAAACTTTACTCACTATCAAAGAATTCATAGTGGTGAGAAACCATATGAATGTAAAGACTGTTGGGAAGCTTTAGTTTTAGATGAGGACTTATTGACACCAGATAATTCACAGTGGTGAAAAGCCTTATGAGTGTAAAAATGTGAAAAGTCTTTTGGTTTTGAGTCAGCTCTTGTTCAGTGTCACAGAATTCACAAAGGTGAAAAACTTTATGAATATACAGATTGTGGGAAAGCCTTTGGCAGTAGTTCAAACCTTACTCAATATCAAAGAATGCACACTGGTGATAAACCTTCTGAGTGTAAAGCATGTGGTATTGTGGGATATTTGTACACTGTGTGAAGATATATTGCTGTGATTGGTTTAATAAAGAGCTGAATGGCTGGCTAATAGCTAGGCAGGAGGTATAGGCAGGACTTCCAGGCAGAGAGAGAGGAAGTAGAGGAGATAACCAAGGTGCAGAGGAGACGCCAATGAGACCTGGAGGGAGTCAGACACACAGAATGAAAGAAAGGTAAAAAGCCACATGGTGAAACATAAGTTCATAAAAGCAGGTTCATTTACATTATAAGAGCTAGTGGTTCAAGCCTAAGCTAAGGCCAAGCTTTCATAATTAATAATACACCTCTGTGTCATTATTTGTGAGCTGGTGGCCCAAAGGAAAGTCTGACTACAGTGTGGGATGGCTTTTAATAGTGGTTCAGTCCTTACTCGGCACCAGAGATTTCATACAGATGAAAAAACTATATATATATATATATATATATATATATATATATATATAATGAATATGTGAAGGCCTTTAGTTTTGGATCTGCCCTTACTCAATATGAGATCTCCACACTGGTCAGAAACCTTATATACTTAAGGAATTCAAGAAGCCTTTTAGTGGTAGCTCAGATATCACTCAACATCAGAGATTCAAGCAGATGAGAAAACCAATGAGTGTAAAGAAAGCAAGAAAGCCTTTAGAAGTGGTTCAAAACTTATTCAACATTAAAGAATGCTCACTAGGGAGAAGCCCTGTGAATGTATGGCTTGTGGAAAGACTTTTATTAGTGGTACTCAACATCAGCAAATTCATACTGGGGAGATATCATATGAATGTAAAGGGTGTTAGAAGTCCTTTGGGAGAAGGTTAAACATTTTTTAGAGATTTATTTATTCTGCTTACAGTGTTCTGTCTGCATGTATGACTGCAGGCCAGAAATGGCACCAGATCTCATTACAATGGCTGTGAGCCACCATGTTTTCTGGAATTGAACTCAAGACCTCTGGAAGAGCAGCCAGTGTTCTTAACCTCTGAGCCATCTCTCCAGCCCCGAAGGTTAAAACTTAATCAACACCAGCTAGGTCAAAGGGCCTTTGAGTGTAAATAATTTAGAAAATCCACTAGTAGGAACTTAATTCTTCATTGGCACAAGACAATACACACTCACTGGAAACATAATAAATGTAAGGAACATGGAACATCTTTGAAGAGGGTGTAGGGTAAAAGAAACCCACCCTGGCCCTGAAACCAGAGCCAGTGAAAGAAACACACTTTGGCCCTGAAACCAGAGCTAAATCTGCCCCTGACCAGCTGAACATGAAACCAACCAATCCCTGAAGAGGAAAACCAATCAGTCCCTGAGCATGAAATCTAGCCAATCTGACCAATTTCTACCCCGAAATCTTCTCCCTGGAAAAACCTGCCCCTAAGAAGCCCTATATAAGTCCCTCTGAATGTTGAGTAGGCAGCTGTCCTCCTCCATCCTGGCATCTGGGATTAACTAAAACTGTGGCTGGAAGTTTTCCTGTGTCCTGCCAGTCCCACAGCCACTCGGTCCCAAGTAAACACATAGAGGCTTATATTAATTACAATCTGTATGGCCTATGGCTCAGGCTTCTTGCTAACTAGCTCTTTTATCTTAAATTAACCTATTTCTATTAATATATATGTTTCCATGTGGCTGTGGCATTATTAATCTGCTGGCATCTGGTTGCTCCTTGGGTGGCAGGCTGGTGTCTCTCCCATCCCAACTTTCTCTTTCATGTATCTCTGCTTGGATTCCCCACTTGCCTTTAAGCTGCCTTGTCATAGGCCAAAGAAGCTTATTTATTACCAATGGGAACAACATATATTCACGGTGTACAAAAAGACATCCCACAGCACTAAAATCCAAAACTAGAGGACATACCTTTAAGGGATTTCTGCTTAATTTGAAGTGGGAAGATCTACTTCTAATCTAGATCTTTGAGGCAGGAAGATATCATGTGATATTTTGTTTGCATTCTGATAAATAAAACTTGCTTGGACTCAGAGGGCAGAGCTAGCCACTAGTTAACCATAAAGGTCTGGAGGTCTGTACAGAGAGGAAACAGGAAGTGATAAGGCAGGGCAGAGACAGGATCTTAGCCCTTTTGGACTGAGGAACAGAAGAGATAGGAAGTCACTAGTGGCTGCTCCCCTACTTCTCTAATCTTTCAGGTTAACCCCAATATCTAACTCCTGGTTTTTATTGATAAGACTAATTAGGTTTACGCATCATCTGGCATGCAACATGGGCTCAAACTTACAACCCTGTGATTAAAAGTCTCTACTGACTGAGATAGTCAGGAGTCACCAGCCAGATGCAAAGGAGCAGGAGATGAACGTGCCATGCTAATAAAGGTGCCACCATGTGGCAAAGCGTAAATAAGGAATATGGGGTAATTTAAAATGTAAGAGCTAGTTAGTAATAAACCTGAGCTATTGGTTGAGCATTTATAATTCATATATGCCTCTGTGTGTTTATTTAGGACTGGACTGTCAGAACAGGAAATGTCTGATTACAGGAAGACACACCTTCAATCCAGATCTATAATCTAGATGTAATCTGGACCATACTTTCTGCTGGAAGCATGTATAAGGACGTGGAAGAAGGAAACTTTTGCTCTTTGCATGCTTGCTTTTACTTTCAATAGCAAATCCACTGACATTAAAGCCTACTTCTTCAGGATTCCAGTGTATACTGAAGACCAGCTGAGCCATTCATCCTTGTGGACTGAGCAACTTCTGGGTTCTTGAACTTTCCATTCATAGCCAGCCATTGTTGGACTAGTTGACCACACACAGCCTGTAAGTCATTCTAATAACCTCCCTGAATAAACATAGAGAGAGATTCATTCTAAAGTTCTGTTACTCTAGAGAACCCTGACTAATACAGATTTTGGTACCAGAATTGGTTCTAGAGCAATAAAAGTGTAAGGGTGAATTTTAGGCTTTCCAGTTTGCCAACACCTACAGTTACCAAAGCTTCTCCAGTTACTGAAGCCATTCTTGGGAGTCTGGAGAGATGGGAGTTATGCATGGCTCAACAACATGGACTTCCACTCCACACCAAGGCTGATCTGGATACAGCATGATCTACACAGTAAGTTCAAAGACAGCCAGAGCTACAAAGTGAGACCCTGTCTAAAAAATATGAAAAATAAAAAGTATATAATTATCTGTAATATCACTAATCATAGTTGCTGGCAAGCTTGGAGAATTCCTTTTAGGATTATTGTGTGCCAGGGCTATTCAGAGAACCCCTATCTTGAAAAGAAAAAAGGGGGTGGGGAGGGCAAATTGTATGTCTTTAGAGGTTATTTTGGCTTTTGTTTTCTTGAACAAAATGTGATTACATATTGTTATTGTTTATTAGTTTTATAAGTATCTGTGGTAGCTGCGTTAGTTGTCAACTTGACTATATCTGGAATTAAATAAGACCCCAAAATGGCTAGGCACACCTGTGAGGGATTTTGCTTAATTAAATCATTTGAAATGGGATGATCCACTTTTAATCTGGTTCTTTGAGGTGGGAAGACATACCTTTAATCCAGCTCTTTTGAGGTGAGAAGATCCACCTCTAATCTGGACCACACTTTCTGCTGGCAGCCTACATAAAAGACATGGAAGAAGGAAGCTTTTCTCCTTGCCTACTTGCTCTTGACCTCAATAGCAAGTCCATTCTTTCACTGGCACTCGCCTTTAATCCCAGAATTTAGGAGGCACAGGCAGACAGATCTCTGAGTTTGAGGCCAGCCTGGTCTACAGAGTAAGTTCCAAGACAGCCAAGGATACACAGAGAAAACCTGTCTTGAAAAACAAAACAAAAAAAAAAAAGAAAGAAAGAAAAAAGAAAAATTTGCCACTATAAACAGTTACCTTAAACTGGGTGGTGGTGGTGGTGGCGGCGGCGGCGGCGGCGGCGGCGGTGGCGGCGCACGCCTTTAATCCCAGCACTTGGGAGGCAGAGGCAGGCAGATCTCTGTGAGTTCCAGGCCAGCCTGGGCTACCAAGTGAGTTCCAGGACAGTCAAGACTGTTACACAGCGAAACTCTCTTGAAAAACTAAACAACAACAACAACAACAAGAACAACAACAAAAGCAAAACAAAACAAAAAAGTTACCTTATTGCCCCTCTTTTGAATATGTCTGTGAGAGAGCAAAATAAACTCCATTTTAAAGAAAACTCCATTTTAAAGAAAACTCCATTTCAAACAGCACTTTGCCAGAAGCTGAACTTAGTTCCAGTAAAAAACTTAAACAAGTGCTGGAGAGATGGCTCAGAGGTTAAGAGCACGGACTGCTCTTCCAGAGGTCCTGAGTTCAAGTCCCAGCAACCACATGGTGGCTCACCTGTAATGAGATCTTGTGCCCTCTTCTGTGCCCTCTTCTGGCCTGCAGGGACACATGCAAGCAGAATACTATATATAAAAATAAATAAATAAAAATAAAATAAATCAAACAAACAAAAAAACTCAAACAGTTCCAAGAAAAATAACAAACAGCCAGGGCCCTGGTCAAGGCAACCCATCAGGGTGGGCTGGCCAATGAGTAATCTTGGTAAATAGCATCTGCTGGCTCCAAATGTCGTTCTATAGCCTTCTGATAACCATTGTTGTTGAAAATTCCTCTGAACCCCAACCAGTGAATTCAAAGGTTACATACCTTCACCCAATCCTATGACGCCAAGGTTTGCACCACCCTGCTTGCAGTTTTTCCCTTAAAAAAAAAAAAAAAACATTCTGAGAGTTCGGGGTGGTCCTCCTCCACCTACTTCGTCAGAGTGCTGGATTGCGGGCCAAGCCCGGGCTTGTAATCAATAACCCCCAGTGTGTTTGCATCGGATATCAGCTCTGTGGTGGTCCTGCTGGGGGGGGGGGTATCTCTCATTGTGGGCACATCATCTGCATGATTTATTTTCCATTTCCAAGACAATGTGTGGATCTCTTATGCTTGTAGAAGGCTCACATTAGATAAAGCTGTGCTTTTCTTTGACCATCATCCCTGGTATCAGTTCCTTCCCAGTGGGAAGCGAGATACTTGTTTTAGTTACTTTCCTATTGAAGAGACATCTTGACCAAGGCAACTTATATGGGGAAATTACTTTATTTATTGATTTATTTTTGAGACAGGGTCTCTCTGTGTAGCCCTGGCTGGCCTGGAACTCATGCTATAGAACTGTCTGGCCTCAAACTCAAGAGATCTGCCTGCCTCTGCCTCCTGTAGGAAAAAAAAAACACTTTTAATTGGGGGCTTGCTTACAGTTTCAGAGGGTGAATCCATGGACTTCATGGTGGAGAGTGTGGCATCTGGCAGGCAGGTATGTAGCTAGAGCAGTAGCTGAGAGCTCACATCTGACCCATAAGTTCGAGAGCCTGGCTTGGGCTTTTGGAACCTCAAAGTCCACCATAGTGACACACCTCCTCCAACAAGGCCATACCTCCTAATCTTTCCTAAACAGTTTACCAAGTGGGAACCAACATCTAAATATATGGGCTTGTGGGGGCCATTCTCATTCAGACCAACATATTATTCTTCCACGTTTTTAAAGAATATATGTATATATGTGTATATATTTATGGCATACAGATGGCTATATGGGAATGATTAGAGCATTTAAAATGTTTGTAATGTGTATTTTAAAATTGTGCCTAACAGAATAAATAAATGGTTGGTTAACATTAGACATCATAATTATTACTTTCCCAAATTTTGTTCTTAACTCGTAAAAGGTTCAAAATAATTATTCAGAAAAAAAATAAAGACTATAAATTTTTCATTTTTCCCATAGTGTAACTATAATAGAAAATATCATATCTAAATTACTTTTTCAGGTAAAGTGCTTACGTTTTCCCGACCATCCAATTAGTATTCAAGGAAGAAATAACTTGACCATCATTTTTTCACAGTCAACACGCTCACATAGCTAAGGGAACCCCTGCAGTCTCTACGAAATACAAGCAGAAGAAAAGCGCATTTATGTAGCACAAATCATCGCGGCCAACTAGTCAACTACACCAGAAGTATGTAGTGACCCTTCACATGCAAATCGCTACGGCTGAAGTCTCTGTCGAGCAATCCCACAGAGGCATAAAACACGTCACAGGTATTTAAAGAGAGAGAAAATCAGGGGTGGGGAAACATACTTTGCCGCTACCTTCCTGAAGCTGGACTACATTTCCCAGAGTTCCCGGCAGGGAACGCCGCCTTTGTTCCGTTTCCTCGCGAGAGTTACTTGGCTTCGCGAGAGGGCTGTGTCTGTGGGCCGAGTTCGTTAGGCAGGGCAACCGCGAAGCCGCTTTTCCAGTCAGGCGTCAGCCGGGCGCCGGAGGCTGACCCCCGAGATGCGCTCCCGTGGAGGTGGGAGTGTCGGGAACGCCTGAAGGCTGCGTCTCCTCTGTGTGTGCCACAAGCCTGCCTGCTTGTGGAGCCCTTTGCGCCCCTGGCGTGTGGCTGGTGCGATGTGTGAATCTGAGGTGTGACTCCCGGGGTGTGTGACTGCGTGCTTACCTGGCTGGAGAGGTCTCTGTGACTGTGGCGTGTGGGCGCCGGTGTGTAGCGGAGGGGGGGTTCTGTCGTAACATGGTTTTGGACCTGTGTGTCACTCAGGTTGTTATCTGGTATCCCGCGCGTAACTGGTTTGGCTGTGAAGACGTGTATGACAGTGTCGCTGAGATTGTGATTGCTTGTTTCCGTGGCCTGTGACTTGTGGTTTTTCCATCCAGGTGATTTTGTGTGTGTGTGTGAGGGGGGGGGCAGACACTGACAGACTGACCGAGGGATTGTCTGTGCTGTTTACATGAACGCAAATAAAGCAGAAGTGCACCCTGGTGAAAGAGTGACGCTGGCCGTACTTATCCCGACAGTATGTTCGTTTCTTGTGCATGCTTGGATCCTGTTTAAGAGTAAGTGCTCAAACAGTGTAGCTCTAACCACGAAATTGTGACTCTAGCTATGTGGCTGTGGAAATTTTATTGCATGTGGCTTTGTGTGGTCGTCAGTATATTTTGCACCTGTGATCTTATCCTACTTTAGTAGGGTACAACAGTAAAATTTTGTTCAGAATTCATTTTGTAGCTGAATCTATCAAAGGGTCATGAATTTCTTGTGACTTTGTGTCTCTCCCCAAATTCTCCCAGAATTTAAGGACTTCACCTCTGTTTTGACCACAGTGGCTACTCATCCATTCATACATGGTCAGGATCAATTCATTTTTGCCCACCCCTCCTCTTTTCACTTCGGAAGTAGAGTTTTGTTGCTGGTTCCCAGTGCTCCCTGATCTTATAGCCAAGGAAATTGGCAGAAAGGAAGCCAGATAGTGAAGCTATAACCTAGAATTTAGATGACATTTTGAGATTTGATAGCACCTTTACAACAGGATGCTAGGAAATATAATGGATTTCAGGAATGGGAAACACAGAAGTACTGTGGAGGCTAGAACCAATGACACTGCTCTCTAGTGGGCAGCTTTAAGTCCACAAATAAATTCAAGCCTAAGGCAGCTTGACCTTGTCTTTTTCTAATACTAGCCTCTGGACTTTGCTTTGTATTAGATGAGGGATAGATTGTGGGGATGGAGGAAGAGGATGTAATTTAGAGTATATAGCAAGAATGGCATGGCATCTCGGTTCACTCTTTTTCCCAGGGTACAACACAGAAGAGAAGAAATGGCCATTGTACATTTCAGAAGGGAAGTTTGAGGTAAGTAGATATTTGTTTCTTCAACTGCCTTTATTGTGTCAAGACATAATCTTTGTTTTTCTTCATTTCTGTTTTTGAAAATATCTCCAACCTAAGTCTTCTCATAATGGAGGAACAAGGCAATTTATTTATTCTTATTAATTATTTTTGAGGCAGGGGCTCACTGCCTGGTTTGAACCTCTTTATGTAGACCAGGCTGGCCTTGAAATCATAGAAACCCATCTTCCTCTTCCTCTTCCTCTTCCTCTTCCTCCCAAGTTCTGAGATTAAAGACACCCAGTGGCAATTGATTTTTATAGTTTGAGAGTTATGAAAATGTGTAGTTGTGATAGATGTTTTCTAATAGTGGTTACATTTATAAAGAATGGGTTTGATGTTTTGGAATTAAAAGTAAGAACATTCTTGTATTGTTTATTTTTCTTTAACTTTTGAGGGGTTGTAGCTTTTTAATTTTATACTTTTATCAACACAATCTTGTATAGCTCAGACTAGGTCAAACTCTTGCCTCAGCCTTCATGAATGTGCTGCCATATCTTTATTTTCTGTTTTGTTTGCTTACTGTCTGTTTATCTAGTAAATAAAGTTTTGTATTTATGTACTTGAATGAATTTTTCACGTGTATGCAGGTGCCCAGGGAATCCAAGGATTGGGTGCTAGAGCTGTAGTTACAGGCAGGCTCGAGCTTCCTGATATGGGTACTTGGAAGAAAACTGGGATCCTCTGCAAGAGCAGTTTTTGTTTTTTATTTTTTGTTTTTTATTTTTTTTTATTTTTTTTGGTTTTTTCGAGACAGGGTTTCTCTGTGTAGCTTTGCGCCTTTCCTGGAGCTCACTTGGTAGCCCAGGCTGGCCTCGAACTCACAGAGATCCGCCTGGCTCTGCCTCCCGAGTGCTGGGATTAAAGGCGTGCGCCACCACGCCCGGCTTGTTTTTTATTTTTATATGGAGTTTTGTGTAGCTTAGGTGAGAATCACCTTGAACCCTTGGTCCTTTTGACTCTACCTCCTAAGAGCTGAGAGAGTACAGGCCTGTGCCACTACACCTAACTTCATTTTTTTAGCTTTTGATTGGAATTTTAAAATGAGAAAATGTGTAATAAACCATTATATGGACAGCTCAAAAGTTATTACCCACTGATCATTTTTTTCTGCCTTCAGTTTATAATCCTTTCCAACTTGCCTTTTGCCTTTTTCTTTAACCGATGAGATAATATTCTTTTGTATTTCAAGTATTTCAATAGATCCAATATATCTTATTTCTTTGTGTGACTTGGATCCTTTTAACTTTACTAAGATTTGTTTTCTGACCTACAATTTGGTGCATCTTAGTAAATGTTCCCTGTGCAATTGAAAAGACTGTGTTCTTCTGGTGTTGAGTAGAATAAATGTCATCTGGATCAGGTAGATTGATTGTGTTATTTAAATCTTCTAGTCCTTTACTGATTTTCTTTTATTTATTTTATTTGTCTCTTTTTCTTCAAAGGTGATCCTGGTAAGCCAATTAGGGGAAAGCTGTCCTCACCATCCCAGATTTAGTACACATGGAATGCTTTGCAGTCTTCAAAGGGAGTGGAAGCCCTCCGCACAATCATGTCTCATGTACACCCGCTTTTCTAGCCCAGGCACCACTCTTAGGAGGGCTCTTTATTACTTTTCTGCCAAGACGTCTTTACTAAAGGGTAAAAGCTTGAAGATACTTTATCCCTCCTCTAAAGCAGTTTTCTAGCCTTCTCCTAGCCATTTCCTCCATCTTCCTCTCCTTTGTGCTCAGTTCATAAAATGGCAGGAAACTCTCAATCAGTGTTCTCTTGACATTGATATGATTTCCCCCAGCAGTATTGATTTACTTTCCCAGTTCTGTTCCATGGAGGAAATTGAACAGTGGGTGAGTTGGCACTTTATCTGAATTAGCTCTTTGCTAATACTGAATGGTTAATAAATGGTTAAAAATTTAACTGTGACTACCATGTTGGCTTATTGCCTTAAACCTGGTAGCTATGACCCCTCAGGTCCACCCAGCTCTTGCCATTGGGTATAGATATTCTGTGTGTGTATCCATTATGTCAAATACTTGATGTGATATTATATAAATCCTCTATGTTGGTACTTTTTTTTTTTTTTTGTCAACTGATGCTTTTAGTTACTAAATGAAAGATGTTACAGTTTCCTTTTAAAAAGTATCTGTGTGGGGTAGATGCGGGTGTGTATGTGTGTGTCATGGAGTGAATGTGCAAGTCAGAAGACAGCTTTCAGGACTTCATTCTTGCTTTCCTCTGTGTGGGTTCTGAGGATCCAAATCAAGTTGTTGGACTTTGAAGTATCTTTAGCTAATGGGCCATCTTGCTGGTCCACAATTTCTAACTGTAGTTATGTCTCTTCCTTTAGTTCTGATTTTTGCTTCATATATTTGAAACACATTTAGGGTTGCTGTGTAATAAGTTGATTCTAGTTTTGTTATTTATTTGTTGGTGACCTATGAGTTTCATTGGGGTTACTTACAGGAACAGGACCATAGCAGTGGCTATGCCACTGAAGAAAATGTCTTTGCTTCCCACAGCAACCATTAACTGCTTGTAGATCCTCAGGGAAGGTTGGGGAATTAATCTTCTTCGTTTCTAGCATTATTCTTATTTTTGTTTTATAATTAAAGTTTATTTCCTCTAAAGAACATATAGTTGGAACTTGCTTTTTAAATTTTATCATTCCCCTTTTGTTGGAATGTTTAGACTATTGCTATAATTTATTTTAAGCACTTCAGGTATAGGAGCATTGGTGTGTGTGTGTGTGTGTGTGTGTGTGTGTGTGTGTGTGTGTGTGTGTGTAGTGAGACAAAACCTTTTCCTGGGGAGATGCAACACATATGTCTACTCACCTCAGGTAGGGAGCCCACGACAAAAGTATGGATACTACCAAAAGCAAACTTGGTGAATCAATGAGTTTTATTGGGGTCACTTACAGGAACAGGAATGACTCAAAGACAGCTGCATCACCAAAATCTACCCAGCATGAATGACATCTTCCAAAAGCTGGGAACTGGGAGTATTTATTTGCACAGCCTGCAAGCAGTTGAACAGGTTGGAGAGTGGCTTTCCCAAGTGACTCTGTTCTTAAACCTCTTCCAGGCATCTTGGCTGGTTTCTGCTTCAAGGCAGCTGGTCTGGTCTCAGAGTCTTCTTTTCAGTTCAGTTTGTCTGTTTGCTTCTTGGCTTGTCTTTCCAGTGGCTTTCCAAATCTGCAAAACACTCAGAGGCTTGCATTACATCATCTATATAACAAAACCTCCTCCAGAAGATGGGCAGAGCAAAGCAGCATCCCGAACCACCATCCCATAACAAAAATAACCTTGGTGATGCATGCAGAAAGTCTGTGGTCATCTGTTCTCAGCAGTGTCAAGTGATCCCAGAAGTTCACAACTAAGAAAATATTAAGGTCAAACATAAGCAAGATCTAGTACAGCATGAAAAGGTTCCATCCATTGTATCAATTGTTTCCTCTACAAATCAAAGTTGGATACAAAGCATGGATCGGAGACGTTAACTTAATTAGCTCTCTGTAATCTTTAGTCATTGTCTCTGAGCCATTATGTTTCTATATCTGGGAGCCTCCCTACATTTCTCCACACCTGATAAACTCAATGGGCCTGACTTAGTATGCTCAGACCTACTCAAGGCCAAAGGTGAATGTGGCCCTGCTCTCCCCTGCTGTACCTGCTGGCTCCCTAGGTCAAGAGTGATCCTGGATTGGCATGATGCCTGTTGCCTCCTCAATCACCATACCTGCTGTTGGGGGAGTTTAGGGCTGGGCAAATCATCTTCACCCCTAGCATAACTTCTTGCTGGAAATGAACCCTCCTTAGTGTGGGGGGATAATTACCCACCCCTAGGACAGGCTTAATCATCTTCACCTGTCCTGTTCTATCACAGAACTTCTGTGAATTGCTCTTCTGGTTAGAGCCTTTCAGAAGTTTTTCAGCGCACAGTTTGGCTTCTATCAATGTTTTCTTAGGAATTCCAGCTCAACATAAATTATGCTACACTTGTCTTTGAGGAACCCAGACAGAACTCTTTCTTGGCTTTACCTTTTTACTATCTCTCTTCTGCTTTCCTCTCCCGATTTATGGACACTCTTTACATGCTGGTCTAAGTAAAAAAGATCTGCCAAAGCTTTTCCTAGTTCATAAAGATCTTGCCCAACCAAGAGGCCCAGCAACACTGCTAAAAGGTCCACACCAGCCTTGGGTCCCTGATGGATCAACCTTTTGTTTAACTCCTTTAGGAATATAGTTCTATCTGGCCCAGTGAACAGGGGTTCAAACACAGAATCTCTTACTTTTAGTTCCTTCAATAGCACCAAACATCCTGCTGTTTGTGGGGACCTCAACACAACAACAATGAAGATAACGAAGTGTTTCTAATGGCTCTGATAAGCCAGTTCATCAGGGACTGACTTCCTCACACTGTCTCAGTTTATGCACCCTTTGCCTTAGGGATGAGGTGTTGCTTTACTCAGTATTTCTGACTCCACACCTGCCAGACTGATGCCATCTGCTACCATGTCCTACAGCTTCACAAACCTGGCTGTGACCAGCTCTTTCATTCCTTAAGTCTTCCCCAGTCCCAGCAGTTCAAGTGCTGAATATTTCCTGATCATCCTAGTTTCTTGTATGGGACCATTGTCAAGGCCCCCATCTGCAGGCTGGGTTGTAGATTTTCCCTCTTTTTCTATTAAAGGTTGGATTTGAGGGGTATCTTCAACTGCTTTTACCACCAATCTCTCTTATCCTCTCATTTATCTAATTTACTTGCCAAATCAAGCTAACATGGGGGACACTGGCTGCAGCTCCCTTTCTTGTTGCAATTGCTCCTTTACATATACAAGTTCCTACTTGGCTGCCAGCTCAGCTTGAGATGCATTTTTACTATGGACAACAATGGCCAGAAAGCCTCTGCTGCTGCTTGCCAACAATCTTGACCCTTGTGTGCTAATTTCAAAGACTGTAAAACTACCTCTAAACCTTGAACTATTTTCAGGTCATCTCCATATTCCTGTGGTGGGCCAGACTCATCAAGCAGGCATGCCCACCTGTAACACCTAGATGAAGACTGCCATGTTGGGATTCCTCCCATAGAAACTCCTAAGCCTGCAACAACTGTTGAAGGGACCTACACTTAGTTGTGGCAGGGGTGCTCCCTCCCAACACCTGGATTAGTCACAGAGCACACCCAAACACCTGTTTTCACAGAGAGATCCTTTATTAAGTGGATAAGTAAAGTAAAGTGGCTGATTTCTGACTCAGGGAGAAAACAGCAGCAAATTACTTGTAGGTGTAATTTTTTTAAGGGGAAAAAGAGGGATGTCTGTGTTAGACTGGGCTAGGGTGCTGTGGTATCTTTTGATTGGGCATGTTGATTGGAATAGCCAAAAGGGGGCTTTTGATTATAGGACTTCAATACTTCAGTAGCTGGACCTTGGTGACAGCCTTAGGAATGAGTCTGGCATGAGAAAGTGTCCAAATAAGGGAATAGACCTTGGTGGCTAGCTTTGGGGATGTAATCTATCAGTTTACAAGGGAAGGGGGAAGGGCAAGGCCTGCCAGCCTCATGTTTGCCATGCTTGGACCTGCTAGAGCCCTTCAGCTGTCATAACACAAAGGTACATCAATACACACCATACAAGAAAGGAAAACTTCATCTGAATTTCCTCTGTGGATGCTTCCCCCTCAACCTGCTCAACCTCAGTTACATACCTTGCTACCATAGATAGGACCATGCATTCATTCTTCCCCAACTCATTTGTTTCTGTCATATCACTGTTTGGGTGCCAATTAGGTTGTGTGACAAAACTCCCAGGAAGATGCTACACACACACACACACACACACACACACACACACACACACACACACAGAGGCATGCTCACACATATGCATGTGGGCATGGGCACACTCACATCTACTCACCCCAGATATGGAGCCCAGGACAGACCAAAGTTTGTATACCAGCAAAGTTCAATTTTGTGAACAGGAATATGGATGAGGGGTTACAGGAGCAGAAATGACTCAAAGACAATTGAATCACCAAAGCCCACCCCGGCACAAGTGACACCTCACAAAAGCTGGGAACCTGAAGCACACTACACAGTCTGCAGGTAGCTGAACAAGTTGGAGAGTGTTCCTTTCACTCTGGTCTTAGCCAGGCATCTTGGCTAGTTTCTGCTTCTCCCAGGCAGCTGGTCTGAACATCAGAGTCTTTGTAGGTTGGTTCACCTGAGAATCTTCTTTAAAGCTTCCTGCTATCTGAGGGGGAACCATTGAGTTTTATTGGGGTTGGTTAGTTAGTTTGGGGGATTTATTATGCATTTTTAGTTACTTCATTTATTAGGCAGGTTTGTTAACAGTGCTTATTCCTGGAACCTCCTTCCTAACTGAGCCCTCTCAAGAATATGCTGCCCATTTTGTCTCATTCTTATAATGGTATTTGTGTCTTTCTATTCTAGCCATATTTATGTGCTTATTCAGCAATATATTTGGCAACTTCCAAAAAATTAAGAATTTTAATTTTAGGTGTATAAATGTTTTGCCTGCATGTATGTAAGTGTACTATATGAGTGCAGATTCTCACAGAGGCCAGAAGAGGGCATCAGATACTCTGTAAATGAAGTTACATAGATGCCATTATGTAGGTGCTAGGAACCAAACCCAGGTCCTCTGAAAGAGCAGCAAGCTCTTGAATTTTTTTAAATATTTATTTTGTATGTATGAGTATTTTGCCTGCATATATGCTTGTATGCAGAAAATACTGGAAATCTGGAAGTAGACTTGGAATGGTTGTGAGCCACTATGTAGGTTCTGGGAACTGAAATCTGGTTCTCCTCAAGAACAGCCATATCTCCAACCCCACACACAGCATAGCATCTTTGACTAGGAATACTGATCTAACAAAAGATTTTTATAAGATAGAGATTCCTCTGATTTTATAAGGTAAGGAAGTTGTTGTATAACAAAAGGAAATCTTTGAATTTCTCAGTATGTGGCTTTGTTTGTTTGAGAAAGGATCTTTCTGTGGAGCCCATGCTGGTCTTGAACTTACTTATTTAAAGCCTACATTGGCTCCCAAACTCACTATGTATCCCAGGCTGGCCTCAAACTCATCATCATCCTTCATCAGCCTCTCATGCTGGGGTTACAGAAAGAGCTCATGCTTTATAAACCTTAAGGTTAGAAAATGTCTAGGGACTAGATACAGAGAGATCTGGAATGTGGATCTGATCGATACTGATAATTGGATCATTTTGAAACTCAATATTAAGTTGTGAGGTTGAAAGTGTATACTTGGGGTAGATATATTTCTATTTTTCTATAGTTTAGATGAGAAAAGGAGATATTAAGGGTGATAAATAGCAATGAGAAATATTCAAAAGTAAACACAATTCTAAGAACCTGAAATTTTCAAAAATGAAAATCAGATCTACTTATTATACAGTGCTATTCTGAAGTCTATAAAAAGATTAAATTACTGGTGATATAGAAAGTGCTTATGATGTAATCCTCTGTGTGATAGCTATTCTTGGTTGTCAATGTGACTATATCCTGGAATTAACTAAAACCCAAAAATAGAAGACACACCTATGAAGAATTTCTGCTTAATTTGAAGTAGGAAGATGTACTTCCTATCCAGATCTTGAGGCAGGAAGACACTTTAAATCCAGATCTTTAATCTAGATCTTATCTGGACTATACCTGCTGGAAGCTTGTATAAGGACCTGGAAGAAGGAAGTTTTTGCTCTTTGCCTGCTTGTTCTTGCCTTGTTAGCAAGTCCATTCCTTCACTGGCATTAGGACTTGCTTCTTTGGCATTCCAGCATATACTGAAGACCAGCTTAGACATCCAGCCTCAGGGTGAACAACTACTGGATTCTTGGACTTTCTGTTGTAGCCAGCCATTGTTGGATTAGCTGGACCACAGCCTGGAAGTCATTCTAACAAATCTCCATTTATATATATTCATTCTATAAGTTCTGCTACTCTAGAGAACACGGACTAATAAAGTTCAATATAATAATGTCTCGAATATTATTAATGGACCAGCCTTAATAATATTCTTACCAGGGACCCAGAAGAGATGCTAACAATGGTGGGGGAATGAATCTAGATACAGCAAGCTCTTTGTCCATTTACTTAATTCCTCTATGACAAAATTCTATCTATACAGCTTCAGCTCTGTCCTCACATTCAGTTCCTCTGTATGCTTATTTTTCCTGTCCTCATAGTTTTAGTAAACTCCTATGCTTTTGACCTCATCTTCATCCTCTGTTCTTCGTCCTCCACCTCCACCTCTCCTTCCTAGCTCCTTACTTCTGGCTCTCAGAAAACTTTACAAGAGATCTGCCTTACCCTCTACAGAATCTCTATCTTCCTCTCTTCTCTCTGGCCATGCTATTCTGTCTCTCAGGAATCCTGTTCCACCTTTCATTCCCAACTGAATATGCAAAAACTTCCATTGTTCTCAGTCAATTGCTATGGAATGCCACTAGGCCTGAAGGCAAGGGATGGTCTCTGCTATTTTGTTCCCTGCTATTCCTTCAATGCTTTGTTTGGGGCTGGCCCTAGCTAAAGGGGAAATTTGCAAAAGGCAGATACCCAATTCAAATGCTAAAAAGGGAGCAGGGTGCTGGGCAGTGGTGGTACAGGCCTTTAATCCCAGCACTCAGGAGGCAGAGGCAGGTGGATCTCTGTGAGTTTGAGGCCAGCCTGGTCTACAGAGTGAGATCCAGGCCAGGCACTAAAACAACACACAGAGAAACCCTATCTAGAAAAAAACCAAAAAATACTACACAGAGGAACCCTGTCTCAAAAAAAGGGGGTTGGGGTGGAGCAGGGAGCTCAGAAGCAGAAGACCCTGCCTACGTAACCTTTTCCAAGTACTGGCCTGAGCAGGATGATCACACATACACGTTCTATGAGAATTATGAGCACAAGAAATTCATAACAAGGAGCAGCTGAATATTAAAGCTGAATAACACCAAATATTCTGTGATAAATGGCTTGCCACTTGAAGGACCCTTGGTTGATCAAGGTATAACTTATTATATACAGCTGGACTCCCTAGATCATATTCTTGTGGATTGCCACAATGATGACTATGAGGATTCAAAAGTCTTTAGTATTGTACAAATCTTTTTTTTTTTTCTTTTTTTTGAGACAGAGTTACGCTGTGTAACAATCCTGACTGTCCTGGAACTTGCTTTGTAGACCAGGCTAGCCTTGAACTCACAGAGATTCACCTGCCTCTGTCTCCTAAGTGCTGGGCTTAAAGGTCTGCGCCACTACCACCCAGCTGTATTGTACAAATCTTATAAGATTGAACCAGCTATCTATTTCCACAGTTTGAAAATCTCAGTTCATGAAACAAGATTCTGAATCTGGAATGTGAATTTCCAGCAAGGGAGGCTAGGGACCCAAAGAGCATGCAAGATGTTCTGAGAACTCCAAGTGCCTCTTGCTCTGAGCTTTTATTAGAAGTAAGTACTTGAAAAGATACAATATAATCATTAAGCCACGTAGATAAGGAATAGAGTGCTTTGCTTAATGGATCACCAGGGATAACAAAGACAATGAAATATGGAGAGAAACATATGTGAACATAACAAGCCCATATGTCTTAAGAAATAGCCCATTTCAGCTTCTTTGAGGGGAACATCTGTTGTACAGATAATTTCCTTTTGTCCTTACTGTGCCATGAGTCACAGTGCTTTAGATGTAGAATGTGTTTCTTTCTCAGTTGAGGCTGTTGGAACCTGAATATGATAGCACATGCCTGTGATCCCAACACTTAAGGAAAGAGAAGCATAAGGATGAGGTGTTCAAGCCAAGGTCATCCTTGGCTATATAATAAGATTGAGGCCAACCTGGTACCTATGAGAAACTGTTGAAGTCAAGAAATAACAGCAAAAAGATTTTATAGGGGAAAAATCCAATTATTTTTCTTATTCCTAAACAGGGAAGAGAAACAGCATTTGTTGAATGTGTGATGTTCACCTTAAATATTTTTAAAGGGTATTTGTATATGTTGTTTCATGAAAGAAACTGTGACAGTGTATGGACTATATTAACTCAAATATAATGAGGTGCTTTATATGAAGATACCTATAGGAGAAAATTGACACATGCTCACACCTCATCACTTAATTTTTTGTTCCCTCTCTGTGTCAGAAGCCTCACTCTGTGTACTTGGCAGTGTCCTTTATGGAATACTCCTTTTCACCCCCACCCCCCCCTCTATTAAGGAATTGTGTCCTTTATTTCTACAGCTAGTAATTGTTTGTTTTCTTAGAAATCAGTGACATTTAGTGATGTTGCTTTGACTTCTCTCAGGAAAAATGGAAATTCTTGGACTCTATTCAAAAGGATTTGCACAGAGATGTGATGTTTGGAAAATTATAGTAACTTGGTGTCAGTAGGTAAGAATTTCTATCCCTTGTATCTCATGACCTAATTAAAAAAAGATTTATATATACAAGAGTTTTACCTACACACATATATGTGTGTGTACATTAATGTGGTGCCTGTGGAGGCCAGAAGAGGGTGTTAGCACCCCTGGAACTGGAGTTATATATGGTTGTGAATCATCAGGTTGGTGTTGAGAATTGAACCTAGGTCCTCTGGAAAAGGAGCCAGTGCTCTTAACCTCTGAGCCACTTCTTTAAATTTCCAAATTTTAAGTTATTTAATAGTGTTAGATGGGCTTAGTGTCTGTCTTATGCCTGTTATTTCAGTACTCCCGAAGTTGAGACAGGAAGATTGTAAACTTCAGGCCAGCCTGGACTACATAATATGATGAGAAAAAGAAAAGAGAGGGACAGCCTGGCTCATATTTTAGACCCCTGCACTGACCAATCTCTTGTTTCTACATCATAGCACTCAGAATCCCAACCCAAACATCCAGCAGTATGAAATAGTTGAAAACACTGCTTTATTTTTTCACTTTTCATATGGCTTTTTCAGAATCTTAAGACTTACTTGAGTAGAACAGAAGACTTTTTTTGCTCTCTGAGTTATCATTTGTGGTTTTTTGTTTGTTTTTAGCTTATAGCCTACCAATTCTTTCAGTGTTCTCGCCTTCATTTTTGAGTTTTTTATATTTTTCACAACTTATGCTAAATTAACAGAAATGAATTCTTAAGATTTTTTCATTTTAATTTTTATTTTTGAGATAGGGTCTTATATAGCTCTGACTGGCCTGGAACTTGCAAGGTTGATCAGTTTTACCTCAGACTCAGGAATCCATCTGCCTCTGCCTTGAGTGCTGGGATAAAAGGGATATGCCACTATGTATACCATGTCTGGCCAAGATTCTTTATTTTTTCAATTAAGGTTTTTAAAACTTTACTCTTGCTGGGTGTGGTGCCATATGCCTTTAATCCCAGCATTCTGGAGGCAGAGGCAGGCAGATCTCTATGAGTTCAAGGCTAGCCTGCTCTACAAAGCAAGTTCCAGGACTGCTTAGGCTGTTACATGGAGAACCTGGTATAAAAAAACCAAAAAAAAAAAAAAAAAAAAAAAAAACAAGTGTATGAGTGTTTTGTCTACATGTATGTCTTTGTACCAAATGTATTCATTGTCTATAGAGGCTAGAAGAGGGCATCAGATCCCCTGGAACTGTAATAACACACAATTGTTAGCTCCTATGTAGGTGCTGGGAATTGAACCCTGTGGAAGAGCAGTATTGTCTCTCTACCTCTCTACCCCAAGCAGGATTCTTACTGTTTAGGAGCAATATTACTGTTTAGGAACAATAATTAAGTTGATACCTGAAGATAAGAGCTAGTTAACGTAGAATTTCCTACAGAGAGGTCTAATGAAATGGAATAGGCTATATAGTTAACTGTAAACTGGGAAAGGCCTTATGAAACATTAATCTAATTAATCTTTATTAATAAAAATTTAGGAGTCAAATATTGGGGTAAGAACCTGAAAGATCAGAGAACAGGGAGCAGCTGCCAGTTGCTTGATACCTCTTCAGTTCCTCAGTCCAAAAAAGATGAGCTCCTCACTCAGCCCCACCTTATTACTTCCTGTATGCTATCTGTCCTCAGTCCTCTAAACCTCTTTGGTCAGCTAGTAGCTAGTTCCACCCTCTGACTCTAAGAAAGCTTTATTTTTCAGAAAACAATCAAAATATCACACACATTTCTGCCTTTTTGTCTAAATAAAAAGCAAAGGTTTTAGCTAACATAGTAAAACTATATACAATCAGTATAATAACTACATACAAATATATACAGGCAAAAATGCAATAACAATGTCCAGTCAATTTGCATTTGACAAATTCAGAGAAAATACTCCATCGTCTATCCTATCTTGGTGAGTTCAAAGTGTTGTACCTAATTCATTTTCTATCCTAACTTGCATCACCAATACAAAATTATCTTTTTATGTCTCTCAGCCTTATACACTTTACACCTCTTTTTTGAGTTTCATTTCTGAATTTGGTAACAAGGAAAACTATAAATATCTAGTCTTTAATTCTATCAGAGATCTAAGAAGGATATAATACTACCTGAGTGAACAGGAAGTGTAGAGCAAACAACTTCCAAAATTAAGAAATGACAGAAATAGCTGGCTGTCTGAACAGTCTCCCACAGTTACTCTGTAATGTTGGGGCATCCTTCTTTGGCCTACAGGCCTAGAATATCTGACAGACTTATCCATGAAGTAGGATTTTTTGAAGGACTGCCCCGCCTTGTCTTGGCAAAGTTAGGTAGTCACTTTATTTTGTGTCCTGCTTGTCCAATTTGGACAGCATACTGCCCACAGTTGAGGCAAGGGCAGTTTCTTGCCCAGTGGCTAACTTTTGCCACAAAGAAATCAAACTCCATGCAGAGTTTCTTCCATGCCCACTATCTTCTCTGAAGTAGATTGGTGCTGCCAGGAGCAGAAATGTCTCATTGTCATAAAAAAAAATAACTTTATGTTATTAAAACATCTTAAATGCCATATTCTGTAGATTTGAAGACCACCTGTCTATCTAAAATTTATCTATTTGACCTTGAAAACATACCTGACTACAAGTTTGATTGTAATAGGTGACTAACTACTGATCTGCATTCCTTTATTATCCTAAATATTTCAAGGACTAGAAATTTACATTGTTAAATGAGCTGTATAGGTACAATACCTTGAACAAGAGTAGAAACGCATATATATATTATGTTCTAACAAAATAACCTCAAATTGTATCAATATAAAAAAAATCCAAACCAATTATAACACATGTAAAACTAGTAGTTGCTTTTTGGTTTAAACATAGATTCAATAATCTATCCTTTTATCCTATCATCTTTGTATCCCCTTTTTTTCTTTCCAGAACAAGGTCCCTGAAATCTAATCTCTTTTATTCAGCTTTTTTCCTGACTATTACCAATAATAACTTGTAATCATCTTCTCAAATGATGACAAACATCCATAATCTACTTAACAACCAAAAACCACCCACCCCACTTCTTGGGAATGTGGGCATCGAGTTCTTAAAATTATTTCCTGTTGTCTGGGGAAGACAGCATCTTTAGGGGACCCTGAAAAATTGGGTTAATTGTCAATTTTTGGGACAGATAGCTGTATCATTTGTTGTCCAGTCTGTGTGTAAAGGGAAAACGCAAGATTTATCTCAAATCTTGGTTCAAGTAGTCTGTGAGGCTGGATCATCTCAGCTAGCCACTTTGAAAATGTCCTGAGCAGTTTATAGTTCAAAGCTGATCCTTGTCATCTTAGTGGCATTACTACAATCCAAGTGGAATCACTGTTGTAGAGCTCCATCCTCCTTTTGGAGACTTCAAAGGTCACTGTTAGGCATAGTCATGGTTCACTGCAGAAAACTTAAACATTTTAAATTTCATATGCAACAGATCTTGAAGAAGTTAAAGGATCAATATTTGTTACATATTCAGAGTACAAAAACTTAATTCCTAGTTAACTGATAAAGACTCAAACCCAAAATAATGTACAGAAATCTAGATGAAGTCTTTTTCTAGAATTAGTTAGTACTCTATATGATCATAAATATCATGACAAAAAGTTTAAAATATATATGTATAAATATGTATAAATATATATTTAATATATATATATTAACCTTGTAAATTTTGAGATATTTATACATTAAGAAAAGTTTTAAAGAATGAAGATAAAACCAAAGAATTATGAGATTAGTGGCAATAGAATAGTCCCTTAATTTTGTTTTTTCTTCTGTCTCATATCAGGTGGCTCTTCTGACATGAGACGGAGATTTTGGATTTTCCTTTAACAAGCATGCTTGGGTTTGGAGAAGGAGAGAGCCACGCTCCAACTCCAAAGGCAGCTTTAATTTCTAATTCAACTGGGACTACAAAAAGACCATTTGCATTATATATCTGTAGAGAACAACAGTAACAAACATTTGAGAAGATTTATGAAATTTTATCCTGTTGGAAATGTGATACACCAATAGGCCAATTTACTCTTTTTCTTGAGACATTATCTCTGGATGACTCATCCTTCATCTTCAGATATCTCATTGTCCAGTGGTCTTCAGATTTTTTAGCTGGATGCCTTCATTCTGCTGAAAAGACAAAAACAAAACCCTGCCCCAACTCTAACTTTGGGGAGTTTCCCTTTTGGAAAGTTATATCTGATTAAATGAAAAGCATTTGTTAGTCTTATAAGTTAGTTTAGATCAAAAGGTCACACTATTTGATGAATTATTGTCTCTTCTAATCAAGAGGTCTCTCTTGTCCAAATCTAATCTTTATCATTTTTGCTTTATGGTTTCTCCTGAAATTTTTGTTTAATCTTCTAAAGATATTCTATCATCCAGACTGTATGGTTTTTTACAATAGGCATTAGGTCCTTTAATTGCTCTGGGGAGGAGTGACAGGGAATGATTGAGCTAAATTTGACATGAGGACCTGAGAGAGGCCTGCCCCCCGCCCCCGCATTTCCTGATGGCAAAGGGTTGTCTTGTCTGTCCCTTGTTGATCTGCATTCATTGGCCCAATGTCAGCCTTTGCTGCACCTTCTGCATACTCCAGAATTCAGAGGCCTTCTGTTTGGATTATTCCTAGAAAAGACATTGTTTCTAGGAATGCCCTGCCTACAGTTCCTTTTTAGGTGGCTTTTTTTTTTTTTGCCACAATTAAAACACCTTGATAAAACATTTTTATTTTTCTTCAAGGCTCTGGAAATCACCTCTTCTATCCAAGCATCATCATGGTTATGACATTCAATATTGACTGTATCTCAGATCCATTCCTCTACATATGCTGATATTGCCTTTAAAGGCTTAATTACCCCTTTGCATTGTGAATTAGCATTTTCAAAAGCCAAAGATTCAATTATTACTTGTCTAGCTTCAGGGTTTGGTATATGGCATAGAGCCAACATGTGTCCATCATATATAGACTATCTTTGTACATCAGCGTAATCACCCTCTCCAAGAAGTTGGTCTTGGGAAATTTCCATACCTCTAGCCCTACTTTGTTGTTCAATAGTCTTAGCATTATCTTTCCACCAAGTCCTCCACTGTAATTGAAGACCAGGTTCCACTACTGCTGTAACCAAGTCTTACTAGTTTGGTGGGACAATTCTTTTACTAGTTGACCATGAATTTAACTTCTGCCTCACAAAAGGTGAATCTATATCATATGAGACTATTGCTTCCTTAAATCTCCTCAAATCGAACATTTCCACAGGAATCCAGTCAGCTCTTACATAGCTTTCGGGATACCTGTCATTTTGCAGTTGTTCTCATAAGGTGACTGGATAAATTAAGGTTGGTTTTTCAATAACCTTGGGCTGTTCGTCTCTAATTTTACAATGGTGAAGTTGGTTCTCCTTTAAATTCCTCTGTCTTTGTCTGAATATCTATCTGTATTATCTGTTATAGTAAGTTTTTCTAAGGCTTTTAACTTATCAATGAAAATTATATTATTTTCTTTAGTAAACTTTTCTAAGGCCTGTATCTTGTCACTCATATCAACCAACTTTTTTAGGGATAAAACAAGAATTACCAAACCAATAATGTTTATAATTGACATTATGTAAATCCCAAAGTTAACTATACCCTCATTTAATTGTTCCATTTTTAAACCATCCAATGTGGAATCATACAGAGACCTAATAGTGTAATGGTGCTTCCCATTTTTTAATATGGGAGAAAATTCTCTGTCTCTTTTTAAACTAATTTTCCCCTTTAAGTATTTCAAGTTGTATCACCAAATCTGCTGATGCTGCAGTAAAGTGTAAGGCTGGCTGTCACTGTATAGCATGTCTGAGCAGATAACACAGCCTGGCTGAGGACAGCTGCCATTGACCACATGTCAGCAGTGAGGAGGGGGTCCAGGGAAATCCCACAACCCATGGGGAAAAAGAGCCAAATAGCCACCTGTCTGAAGAGCTGACACAGGGTGGGGTGGGGGAACACATGAAAGCATGAGTGACCAGCAGAAAGTGAAAGCACAGAGCTGCCTGAAGGCAGAGCTGGCTGGTTATGAGGGGCAAACTCCAGCAGCATTTGGAGCTCAGGCACCTATATAGTTTGGGGCTTGTGGAGATTGTTATAGAAAGGCTGCAACAGGAAAATGACAGACTTGGTCATAGGACTTGTGGGAGAGGGGAAAGGAAAAGCCAGCTATATGGGGACTCTAACAGGTGCAGCTCTGGTGGGTGCCAGTGGCTGCAAAGCAGCTGTTTTGTGAATTTGTGCCCAAAAAGTTGGATGGCAGATGAAGCATTAATCTAATTAATCTTTATCAATAAAATTTTGGGAGTCAAATATTGTGGTAAGAACCTGAAAGATCAGAGAACACGGAGCAGCTGCCAGTTGTTTGCTACTCTTCAGTTACTCAGTCCAAAAAAGTCAAGATCTTCTCTCAGTCCCACCTTACTACTTCCTATATGCTGTCTGTCTTCAGTCCTCAAAACCTCTGTGGTCAGCTAGTGGCTACCTCCACCCTCTGACTCCAGGCCAGCTTTATTTGTCAGAATACAATCAAAATATCACACAACAGCCTTGGTACATTTTCAGAGTAGAAAGGATGCTAACAAGTTTGACACATAGTGATCAAAGCTAAGAAGTTTTAGCCAGACCGTGGAGAACTTTGTCAATATGGTAAACTATAAGTTTGGGCTTTACTCTAATTTAAAAGACACCAAAAATTTAAGGGATAGCAAATCATGATCTAAATCTGAATCAGTTAGTGGAAAATATTAAAACTGTGATCTCTGTAGTGTTGTTTTTTTTATTTACTAGATTCAGATTCAGTTAATCTAGTGTATATTTGGACATCTTTAATCTTAACACCTATTTAATATGATTTTTATCCCCATTAAAGTTTGGCAACTATTGATTTAAAAAAAATCAGAATTAGAATTTATTAGGAAGAGATTTATAACAGATTTAAGCATGGGAATTAACAGAGAAATGCTGAGTAAGTGGATTGTTCACATCCAAGGGTTGGTTTGCATTTCTCAGGAGAACATCATCAAGAATCATTAATTTTAAAAAGGTTTTTTGTTTTTTCTTTTTTGCTATTTTTTTTTTTTTGGTTTTATGAGATAGGGTTTCTCTGTGTACTCTTAGCTGTCCTAGAACTAACTCTGAAAACCAGGCTGGCCTCAAACTCACAGAGACCTACCTGCCTCTCCTCCATAGTGCTGGGATTAAAGTTATGTGCCACCACTGCCTGGCTTAAAACTTTTCTTAATCTCATCCTTTTTCACTCCCAGGTGAGTTTTCATTATTCTCTGATCTCAGGTACCCATCATATATTTTAATATAAGAAGTCATTCTAAGATAATGTGTGTATATATACATATTTATTGTTGTTGTTGTTGTTATTACAGCAACTATCACCATGCCTGGTACCTAAACTTATTTTTTGGTTTCTTGAGATAAGGTTTTTCTGTGTAGCCCTGGCTGTCCTGGAACTCACTCTGTAGACCAGGCTGGCCTGGAACTCACAGATCTACCTGCCTCTGCCTCCCAAGTGCTGGGATTAAAGGCATGTACCACCACAGCCCAACAAAGCTATTTTTTTATTCTGGATAACAGCATTAAAATCACTTTAGTTATTTTTTCACTGTGGGGTGTTATATAGAATAACATAGAATGAAAAACAGTATTAGTTCAATGAAACTTTATATGTTGAAAATTTTGCTGTGAAAGGTAGGTATTAATGTGAGTGGGATGTAGTAAGCCATATTTGGAAAATACTAATATATGCTTTTTACTTTTTATAGATATTATTTTCCTATTGTGTTTTCTGGTATATTAGTTCTATTTCTCTGAAATTATTCTCTTATCTTTCAGACTTGCCTTCTAGGTGTTTGAATAAGGACTTATCTTCAAAATAGCACACTAAGAAATCAGAAATCAGAATTACCTCAGTGGGAAATGAGTGACAGGTTCAAATACCTAAGACTAATTCTTAGAAGATATTTGGAATTTGAAGTTGGATTAGAGAAGGAACAAGAAGGAATATTACAGAAAAGAGATGATAACATATGACAAAATGTCTATTTTTAGCCCACATACTTATTTATCTCAGCATCCAAGAAGTTATTCTACAGAGAAACCCTATAAATGTGAGGAATGTGGAAAAGCCTTCAGACGAGCCTCACACCTAACTCAGCATCAGAGTATTCATACTGGTGAGAAACCTTATGAATGTAAGCAGTGTGGGAAAGCCTTTAGTCGTGATTCTCAGCTAAGTCTTCATCAAAGACTTCATACCGGTGAGAAACCCTATGCATGCAAGGAATGTGGAAAGGCTTTTACTCAAAGTTCACAACTTATTTTACACCATAGGATTCATACAGGTGAAAAACCATATAGGTGTGAAGAATGTGGTAAAGCCTTTATTCGAAGCTCACAACTCAGCCGACATCAAAAAGTCCATACTGGTGAGAAACCTTTTGAATGTAAAGAATGTGGAAAGGCTTTCACTCAGAATTCACAGCTTACTCTGCACCAGAGACTCCATACTGGTGAGAAGCTTTATGACTGTAAAGAATGTAGGAAGGTCTTTACTCAACTTTCACAGCTTATTCTCCATAGAAGAATTCATACTGGTGAGAAACCTTATGAATGTAAAGAATGTGGAAAGGCTTTTATTTGTGGTTCACAGCTTTCACAGCATCAGAAAATTCATAATGGAGAAAAGCCATATGAATGTAAGGAATGTGGAAAGGCTTTTATTCGAGGCTCACTACTTATGCAACATCAAAGAATTCATACTGGTGAAAAACCCTATAAATGTGATGAATGTGGAAAGGCTTTTATCCGTGGTTCCCAACTTACTCAACATCAAAGGATTCATACTAATGAAAAACCTTATGAATGTAAAGAATGTGGAAAGACTTTTAGTCATGGCTCACAACTTACTCAACATCAGAGAATTCATACCGGTGAGAAACCCTATCAATGTAAGCAGTGTGGAAAAGCCTTTAATCGTGGATCACTCCTTACTCGACATCAGAGGATTCACACTGGTGAAAAACCCTATGACTGTAAAGAGTGTGGAAAAAATTTTAGTCGGGGCTCAGAACTTACTCAGCATGAGAGAATCCACACTGGTGAGAAGCCCTATGAGTGTAAGGAATGTGGAAAATCTTTTATTCGTGGCTCACAGCTTACTCAGCATCAAAGAATCCATACTGGTGAAAAACCTTATGAATGTAAAGAATGCAGAATGGCCTTTACTCAGAGTTCACATCTTTCTCAACATCAGAGACTTCATACTGGTGAGAAACCCTATGTCTGCAGTGAATGTGGCAAAGCCTTTGCTCGTGGATTACTACTTATACAACATCAGAGAATTCATACTGGTGAAAAACCATATCAGTGTACAGAATGTGGGAAGGCCTTTATTCGTGGTTCACAGCTTACTCAACATCAGCGAACTCACACTGGAGAAAAACCTTATGAATGCAAGGAATGTGGGAAGGCCTTTGGTCATGGCTCTCAACTTACTCTACATCAGAGAATCCATACAGGTGAGAAGCCCTATGAATGTAAAGAATGTAGAAAAGCCTTCACTCAGAGCTCACATCTTTCTCGGCACCAACGAATTCATACTGGTGACAAACCATATCAATGTAAAGAATGTGAGAAGGCCTTTACTCGTGGGTCACAATTAATGCAACATCAGAGAATTCATAGCAATGACAAATCTTTTGACTGTAAAGAATGTGGAATAGACTTTAGTCATCATTCACAAATTTTTATTTGAGTTAACTTATTCTCTTCAAGTATAGCTTTCCCTGGTCACTCATTATCAGTAAAGAATTCTTACAAATGTTGCTATAGAATTCATAAAGTTCAGCATTTGAAAATTTATATAGGAGAATAGAAACGCTGATATAATCCACATAGGTAAGCCTTTTGTTTATAACTGTATTACATTTTAGCAAATTAAAATAGAAAGTGATTTTGTTACCATGGAATAGAAAGGTCTTTAGCATAGAAAATGTCTGTATCAACGTTATTGTGGTCCTGTCAGTTCGTTTCCTTTGTGGCATTTGTTATAAATAACCTTACTTTGGTTTAATCATTTGTAAGGTAAATCTAAGACCAATTTTTTCATATCATGTTTTAACATGTAAAAGCACTTAGAACAGTGCCTTGAACATTGCATATCATAAACATTAGGTGCTATTTTCGTTATTGTGATTTTAGAGGATGTGCATGAAAGGAAGGAACTTACCAGTGTAGTTAACATCAAGAACTCTTTCATTATGATTTATCCTAGACAAATTATTATACACGGTCATCAATGTGAGAAAACATTCATCCAAATCTCATATATTTATTTATTTATTTTTAAAGATTTATTTATTTATTATGTATACAGTGTTCTGTCTTCACACACCCCTGCAGGCCAGAAGAGGGCACCAGATCTCACTACAGATGGTTGTGAGCCACCATGTGGTTGCTGGGAATTGAACTCAGGACCTTTGGAAGAACAAGCAGTGCTCTTAACCTCTGAGCCATCTCTCCAGCCCCCTCATATATTTATTAGAAAAGGAAATTTATAGTATAAAGAAACCCTGTGGTATTAATGGGTTATTGAGCACCACTGTTACAGAATTTAGGAGAGGTATGATTGATTTGTCACAAAGTCCCAAAACTTACATGTTTTACAATATTTGATGTCAACTCAATAATATTATTTACAAATGATGAACTAAATACTCAAGATAAATCTAGGAAATAAGGGAAACTTGAATATGTAGTTTGTTAACTGAAAGTAAAAAGTTATATCCATAGACTACATTTTACTTACAATGAAAAAAATACTGATATGTTTGTATCAAAGACTGCTATTCTACCCAATTTTCATTTGCCTTTCCATCACAAAAACCCTAGGCAAAGAAAAAAAAATCCTATCTCAATCTCCATTGCAGGTCAACAAGATGAAAATGGCATTTGTATGAGTAGAATATTTAAGAAATCCTTCCTCTCTGTTTCTTTTCTTTCCCCTTCTTAACACTGTAGGCATCTGAGGTGGAGCCCAGATAGCCTCATGAGGATTTTGGAAGTGGTATCTGGGTGTTATGGATGGTGGAGTCTGCAACCCTGCTGATTTTGTGAACAGTCATTCCAACTCTACTCTGCCTATGTATTTCTTTATTTAATATTAAAGTAACCCTCATACTTGTTGATGCTCTTCTAGTTCTCAGAACAATAAAACTTCTCTCTCTCTCTCTCTCTCTCTCTCTCTCTCTCTCTCTCTCTCTCTGTTTTTTGAGATGGTTTCTCTGTGTAGTCCTGGCTATCCTGTACTCTGTAAACCAGACTGACCTCAAACTCACAGAGACCCACCTGCTTCTGTCTCCCAAGTACTGGGGTTAAAGTGTGTGCTACCATGCCTGGCAATAAAACTTCTCTTAAGGGCATGAAATAATATTTTACTTGGAAATAGTCTGCTGTGAATAAATGAAATCTCAACATTAATATAAGGCCATGGAAAGTGAGGGTATACTCAGAGTGAGCTACAAAACTGAATATTCTTATTGGGGGAGGGCAGGACATTTGATCAGCCTGCATCCTACTGTCTTGTAAGGCAGACCAGGTACCAATCTAGGCTGCAATGTTAGAAGAAATGACAGGAATGATACAGAACATGCATGTTCAGTCTTTCTTGCTGTTTAAAATGTCTTCTAAGAGACATTAATTCAGAGTAGATGTAGCCAGGCCAGTAATGATATTATATTGCTTTTATTAGGAGGCACAAAGAGTAGCACATGCCTTTAACCCCAGTACTCAGGAGGCAGAAGCAGGTGAATCTCTGTGAGTTTGAGGCCAGCCTGGTCTACATAGTGAATTCCAGGACAGCCAGGGCTACATAGTGAGATCCTATCTCAGAGACAGAGACAGAGATGCTATTTCTGACTACAAATGTTCAGTCTTCTTAACTGAAACCTATGAACTGACTTAAAGGAAGAACTTGGACAAAGTCTGAGACAACAGCTCATGCCTACAAAGGTAAGTAGGTATGCAAAAACCTTGAATTTTTATATCTTTTCCTCATCCAAGCTTTTTCTAAATGTAGTCTCATTCGAGTACTTGTTAGAATCCAACCATTATTGTTGTTGTTGGGGTATATCTATAAGCAATCTTAGCAGAAGATGGCAAAATAAATATAGAATATGTTAAATATAATTGTATCAGGCATTGAAGCATACCTATAATCCCAGCAGTTGCTAGTGAAGCTACGGAGCTGAGGCAGGAGGAGTTAAGGTTCTGGGTCATACAAGACTAAATAGTAAATTCTGGGTAATTCTACACTATATAAAGAGACTCTGACTCCAAAAAAATGGTAATAGAGTGAAAAGATCATTAAAAAAGAGATGGAGTCCATTAAGAAGGATCTGGGCCAAGATTAGAAAGTCTAAAGTTAATGAAAAGAGCACTCCAGGAAGGTTTTCCTTTGTAGATTATATTAACATTTCTATTTTCTCATCTAAACTCTCAAATGCTGAATTTTATCAAATATGTCTCATATTCACATAACAGGACATTAGTGTATTTGAGGAACACCAGAGGGTCTTAGAACTCTATGCAAGGGGATGATAGGACAGAAGGTCACAGAGGTAACTGAGAGCTGTGTCTTACAAAAACTTGTAGGCATTTTTTAACTTTATTCTGAATGAAATGGGCAGCCATTGGAGGGTTTGAGCAAAAAGTATGATATGACGTGTAGTCTTCTTTTATAAAATATGCCAGTGGCCTAAAGCAGTAGTTCTCAATCTTGCTAATGCTGTGACTCTTTAATACAGTTCCTGGTTTTATGGTGACCCCTAACCATAAAATTATTTCATTGCTACTTCATAACTCTAATTTTGCTCTTATGAATTATAATGTAAATATTTGATATGCAGGATATCTTATATGTGACCCCAGTGTGGGTCACAACCTACAGGTTGAGAACCACTGGCCTAGACTGTGATTGTTACTACTGGTATAGTGAGAAGTTGTTTTCTTCTATGTTAAGTAAATACAAAGCAAGTTTTGTTTAATGGTCAGGGGTTAGGTGTGAGAAAGAAAAGTTCTAGGTGAATTTAACTCAGGTTTTGGTTGTCAGCAATTAGAAAGGTGGTATCCCATCAAATATGATGGAGGAAGTTAGCCAGGTGGTGGTACATACCTTTAATCCCTGCACTCGGGAGGCAGAGAGAGGTATATCTCTGTGAGTTTGAGACCAACCTGGTCTACAAAGTGAATTCCAGTACAGCCAGAGCTGTTACACAGAAAAACCCTGTCTTGAAAAACAAAACAAATGAAAAGATGGGATAATCTGTAGTTCTAACATATAGTTCTAACATGTTGATTATTTAAATTGTTAAAAAAATATTATTCATATGCCTGTGTGTTTGTATCTGCCATGTGCACAAGTATTCCTAAAGAAGCTAGAGAGGATGTTAGATCCACTGGAGCTGTACAGGTGGTTGTGAGCCATCTGATGTGTGTACTGGGAACTGAACTTGGGTACTTAGCCACTAAGCATTCTCTGCAGCTCCAAGAGGCTGTTAATATTGAGATGGCTTTTAGACACTAAATGAAAATACTGACTATGCAGTTGGAAGTATAGTATCTTGGATTACCCCAGACTGAATATTAATTTTGTAGTTATTAGTTATGCATATTTCAAACCCTGAAGTAGAATTGGATCATTAGGGACTTGATGTAAAGAACAAGGAACTATGTATTATCCAACATTGAGATCAAGAAAGGACAGCAAAGGAACTAAAATGGGGGATCAAAGAAATAAGGAAGCCAAAAGACTGCAAGTCCAGAAGTGAAATTGAGGTGATAGGACAATCAATGATAACAGACTACTGGCAGATTAAATAATGAGACTTGAAAAATGGTGGTTGGTATCAGCAAAATTGTCATTGTTACATAACTTAAAGAAAACTAGGGATTTATTTTTATTGTTTTGGGGTGAGCATAAAAGACTGAAAACAGGCCAGTTGGTGGTAACACATGCCTTTAATCCCAGCACTTGGGAGGCAGAGGCAGGCAGATCTCTATGAGTTTGAGGCCAGACTGGGCTACAGAATGAGTTCCAGGAAAGACTCCAAAGTACACAGAGAAACCCTGTCTTGGGGGAAAAAAAAGACTGAAGACAGAATTTAATCTGGTACAATGAATACATATACGTCACTTCGGGAACAACCAGCATAAAGTATGAAAGTATGTTTCAAGGCAGTATTTGGCTGTGCAAAGACTGATAGTGATACTAAAGCATGCTCCCACAATCCTGGAATTCACCAACCAACCCTTAAGGAAACTGAAAGCTGTATTTGGGACCACAGAGGAGCTATTTAAAAGCCAAGCCAAGTTCTTTAAATGTTACAAAGACAAAAGGACAGAGATTGCAAAGTATTCAGGCAATGATGGTGTACATAGTAAAGGCTGGAGATAAGGCAGGAAATCACTTCCACCTACAAGGTGGGTCCTGTATTTATGAGTGTGAAACTGGTGAGTTGGCTAAAAGGGCTACTACTTGTTTATTAAAAGGGTTTATTTGTGCGTGGGGCTACATATGGGTGCACTAAAGATTCATGCAAACAACAGTGTTTATTACTCTCTAGCTGTTCATTTGAAGCACTCTCTCTCCCTGAATCTGGGGCTTCCTTTTTCTTCACCAGACTGGAATCCAGCCATCTCCACTGATTCTCCTATGCCTCCCCACACTCCTACTGCAGTTACAGACTGGTGCATGACACTGGTCTTTACTCTGGCCCTCATCATTACTTAGCAAGAGCTCTTGACATCTGAGCTATCTCTCCAGCACCTAGGCTGCCGTTTTGTACATAATATTGTCCCTAGGTTACTGTCCTCTTAATCACTGAGCTGTGGTTAGATTTGTTATGTTCTGTTTACCTTGTCTTCTGTCTGTGCCTCTTCTCTCTAAGTCTAAACTGAGCGTCTAGTGAGGTTTTCTTGGGAATAAAAAGAGCCCTCTTTTGGAATGTTGCTGTCAAATGGAGGAAGCCACTCAGCAAACTCACATGGGAACCCATAACTATAAAGAAAAAAAAAAAAGTCATGCCTGGCCACACAGGCAAAGAAGTGTCTCAGGAGTAACTCAGATTTGGTAAAGTCCCCTCTTGATCATAAAAGCCCCATTTGTTCACATAGGTATTTCCTCAGGCTACAGGGCTATGCTTTGGCACATAACCCACCAGCAGAACAGGGCAGTTACAGGTACACAAGCAGCCCTGTTCTCTGGATTCCCTAGAGGGAATGTGCATTGAGTACTCACAAAGTGGAACTAATATCCATGGTGCTCAATAGACTACTTATGCCTTCTCTTCTACCTACTTGGCCCTTCTCAAATTCTCTGATCCCAAGATCATCCACCTAGATCAATTATCCCATCCCTGCATTGTTCATAAGGGGCTATTGGTTCTGCAAAATCTCATAAAATACCCCTAAGCAACCACGATGGTCAATGTGATACAGATTCCAGGCATGTGCAGTTCTGACAGTTAGGCTGTAAACCAGCACCAGCTAGGGGAGTAACTGGTAAAGATTAGATAATAGGCTCTCAGGATTTTCCTCAAGATCTAAACAACCCTATCTGGGTCATTTCTGCCACCTTAATGGTATGGGGTGGGCACAGTGGGGTTTCTGTGGACCTCACCCTGGTTTCAGAAGGGGAAATGGATCACATCATAGCCAGATGAATTAGGTAAGGTAGGAATGGTGCTTCTGAGGGATATGAAGATGCCTGGTGGTGTCAACTGGAAACTCATTGACCCTAGATCCAGTGCCTCCTTTCAAGGCTTGGCCTAAAACAGACACTGAGCTAAGACTCAAACCCCAGGGACCACAGGTGCTAAAAGCCTTCAAGTAAATGTTAACATTAGTATAAGAATACAGGGTTGCTGAGGGCCGTGAGAATATATCATAAGAACTCAGCTGGTTATGGCAAAGTCACTACCTGGAGGAATCAGGGAATTCCTCCAGAGGAAGCCAAATTCCAAGGAGCTTTTGGTGTTATTTGGCTTGTTATATATCAGCTGTATTCTGTTATGAAAATCATGTGTGCCTTCATAGTTTTTCCAATTGACTTTTCCCTGAGAAGTGCTAACAGTGTGGACTGATCACTCTCTGGACATACACATTCCAGGTATTTGGAGAACAGCCTCAAGAAAGGCCTCCTCTGGAATCAGATATTTCCCTTAGCCACTTTCAAG